GGCACAGGTTTCATCCCTGGTCAGGGAACTAAGATCTCGTGAGCTGTGTGACATGGCAAAAAAGAAATAGGTTGGAACTCATTTTTCCCCTTTTAAAACAACTTGTGATCACAAATGCCATTATCTCTCAGATATTAGACCTTTTTGTTTCAGCTTAGGCATATATTGTATGAGTACGTTAATCTAAGCAGAGAGGATCTTTTCTATGCCTCTATTCCAGCGAATAGCAGATAAAAGGATAATAATAATCCTTTTATATTTAATAATAATATAATTTCATTATAATTTAATATTATTAAATATTTTATTTAATAATAATCAGATAAAAGGATCAATTTAAAAACTGTTAATTTTGAAAACTTCTAAGAAGCCAAAACATTATGGCCTAAATCACCCAGAAGACATATATATTGTATTTTTTTTTTTTTTTTTTTCTGTATGCAGGCCTCTCACTGTTGTGGCCTCTCCCGTTGCGGAGCACAGGCTCTGGACGCGCAGGCTCAGCGGCCATGGCTCACGGGCCCAGCTGCTCTGCGGCATGTGGGATCTTCCCGGACCGGGGCACGAACCCGTGTCCCCTGCATCGGCAGGCAGACTCTCAACCACTGCGCCACCAGGGAAGCCCGGGGAGCTTTCTTTATAAAGGAATTTCATGATAACCACACTGAGAAGTAAGGAAGTGATTTGCGCATTTTGTAACTCATGATACAAGGCTGTGCATTTATTCATTCACTCATCTATTTATCCATGTTTTACATTCTACCTACTTCCAGAAAGGATCCCGTCAGTTTGCTTGCATGATACCCTGATATGTGCAAGATTGTCTTGTTCTGAGTGTAAAATGAGGACAGTAATACCTATTTTTCAGGGTTGTTGTCAATAGCAAAGATAATATATGTAGAGTACCTACAGGTGCAATAAATTGGAGCCATTATGGATATAGAACAATATTAATAACTCAAAAATATATTTATGATTTAGTATTAATTCAATCTTACAGTAACACAATGTTGATTGTTATAATATTGATATATTATAATATAAGTTAACTGAGGACATGATGCAAGAAGGCCATCCTGGCCAACCAGATCAGAAGAATAGATCTGGAGATCAGTACGGTGACCAGATAGAGGGTTATTACATCCATGTAAGAAAATAGGAAATAAAAGATTTGGCAGCACTTAATTTTCCACTCAAAGCTCTGAGAAGAGATGCTGTAAAGCAACTGTGGCTGTGGCTTCTGATTTTGGACCTTGGGAGGCACTTCCTGCTGTGCTTCTTTGCCTCCTGGACTGTGTGTGCCTTTGCCCAAAGTGGACTCTGTTTCTTCTCCTCTTTCTCCTTCCCTTCCTGGTCATCCTCCTCCTTCTTTCAATATATTTGTTTCCTGATAATCACAGTTATACATGTTCAAGGTAGAACATTTAGAAAATACACAGGGAAAACCATAAAGATCACCTTCATTCCCCTCTCCCACCCTCAGAAATAACCACTGCTTAATATCTACATTTTTACCTTTTTTCTAAGCATATTCTGCCTAAATTGTATCATCCTATGCATCATTTTAAAAATTTATTGTTTGGGATATAGTGAAAATTTCCCAGTGCTATTAAAGATTGTTCTATCATGTGATTATGAAATACTGCATCGTATTTCATTGCAAGAATGTACCATAAATAATCATTCCCATTTTAGTAGACTTTTAGGTTGTCTTCAATTTTTTCTTTTCGTAAATAACTTTGTGATGAGCATCCGCACCATCAAATCCTCATGCACATCCTTATTTATTTCTGTAGTATTCTTTTCTGGAGGTGAAATGACTGGATTAAAACTTTTGCCTAGGGCTTCCCTGGTGGTGCGGTGGTTGAGAGCGTGCCTGCCGATGCAGGGGACACGGGTTCCTGTCCCGGTCCGGGAAGATCCCACATGCGGCGGAACAGCTAAAAAACTTTTGCCTACGTGTAAACCTTTTAATACTTCTTGCTAAATTTTCCTTGTGAAAGTTGTTTAGCAATGGACAAGGGAGTCAGTTTGCCCACATGTGTGCTGACTCTGGGTATTTTTCCCCCTGATATTTGATAATTTGAAGGAAGACAAAGCATATCTAACTGTGGTCTTAATTTGCATTTCTCTAATGACTGGAGAGTGAAAGTCCTGTATCTGGTCCTTTCTAGCTCTCCTCCTGAAGCTACCTCACCTGCCCTCATTACTCAGAGTGACAATTGGATGGAAGAACTTCATTCGCTTTTTTTTTTTTTCCGCCGGTACGCGGGCCTCTCACCGTTGTGGCCTCTCCCGTTGCGGAGCACAGGCTCCGGACGCAGGGGACGCGGAGGCTCAGCGGCCATGGCTCATGGGCCCAGCCGCTCCGCGGCATGTGGGATCTTCCCGGACCCGGGCACGAACCAGTGTCCCCTGCATCGGCAGGCGGACTCTCAACCACTGCGCCACCAGGGAAGCCCTCATTTGCTTTTTTTAAAAAATAGAAATATATATTACATTTATTTGTATTTTAACAACCCACATTGTCAGTTTTTAATTATTCCTCATTTATTTCCAACTTTTTTTTTTTTTTTTAAATTTTTGGCTGTGTTGGGTCTTCGTTGCTGCGTGCGGGCTTTCTATAGTGGTGGCGAGTAGGGCTGGGGAGGGCTACTCTTCCTGGGGTGCACGGGCTTCTCATTGTGGTGGCTTCTCTTGTCGCAGAGCACAGGCTCTAGACGCGCGGGTTTCAGTAGTTGTGGCGTGTGGGCTCAGTGGTTGTGGCTCGCAGGCTCTAGAATACAGGCTCAGTAGTTGTGGTGCATGGGCTTAGTTGCTCCGCGGCATGTGGGATCTTCCCACGGCTCGAACTTGTGTCCCCTGCATTGGCAGGTGGATTCTTAACCACTGCGCCACCAGGGAAGCCCTGCTTTTTTATTCTTAGTATCTGGTGCAGACCATTGCACCGCATGTTTTCTATGAATGCTCACTATAGCCCTATCTACGAGGTGGGTACTATTATTAACTCCACTTCGTGTGTGAATGAGAGGAGACTTGGAGTAAACTAGTCTGCCCAAGGTCACACCAGGGAGGTGATGGCAGAACCAGGGCTTGAACCCAGGCAGAACCAGGGCTTGAGCCCATCCTCTTAATCACTTAATGAACTATCTGAATCTAGGAAGATGGGGCCCTGGGGGTCTCCTCTTATTAAATTTCAGGCAGCCCTGGTTCAGCTTGCAGCTCCACATCACTCTGGGCGTGGCTACCCAGGTTGTGTTTCAAAAATACCTTCTCATTGAGGGTTTGGGGATTGGGGTAATTCCAGGGCATCCAGGGCCCTGCCTACTTCCACCTTCAACCTTAATTGATAGGGCAGAGAGCCTTTCTCATTTACCTAACTTGTCTTGTTCGCTTTCTGAGTAGCTGGTAACCTGCAGGAAAGTGGGTGGGATAGAGGCAAAACAAACAAAAACAAACAGAAACAACAACAACAAAACCATCCTAACCGTATTCCTAACCTTACAATGTCCTAGCGTTATGTTGCCATTTGCAACATCAGGGGATTAGAGGGGTTGTTATATGCATGCATCATGATTTTAAAACAACAAAGAGAGCAACCCTAAAGCAGTGTGCTGTTTGCTGTGAGAAAAACAGAACTGGAAACGTGTTCAAAGCTTGAGTCCATCTTCAGCTCCCCCATCTTGCTTTGACTGCCCCACCTCCTCCAAGCCCCACTTCATATTCCAAGACGTGCAGAGATCTGGCCTTAAGCCTTCCATAAAACTCTCCTTTCTTTCTTTTTTTGTCAGTGCCACGCGGCTCGTGGGATCTTAGTTCCCTGACCAGGAATTGAACCCAGCCCCTCTGCAGTGAAAGTGCTAAGTCCTAACCACTGGACTGCCAGGGAATTCCCAAAACCCTCTTCTTTGGAAAGGATCTGAAGCCTTGGAGAGAATGTAAGAGACAGTTTCTCTCTTCCTTGAGTATTTGCATTTGAACTTCAACCCCAGGGGTGGCATGAAAGATTTGTTTCCTGCTCAAGGAATTTCCGACAGTAACAAGTAGGAGGGGAAAGAG